GCACTTCAGCACGCACAGACATACACGCTGGCAGAACACTTCAAAGAAAATCAGCCAATCAATCATTGTTCAGAGTGGTTGCTAAAATAAAGTCACATGGTTCCATTAGAGCCATCCACATTTAAACTTTGGAAAATACAGGATTTGGGTTTAGTTGTGAGAAAAGTATTTATTTATTTGTTTGTTTGTTTGTTTTTCAAGACAGGGTTTCCCTGCGCAATAGCTCTGGCTGTCATGGACTCACTTTGTAGACAAGGGTTAAACTCAGAGATCCACTTGCCACTGCTTCCCGAGGACCGGGATCAAAGGCATGCACCGCCACCGCATCTTTTTTTTTTTAAATTTATTTTTTGTTGTGGTTTATAGTTTGTGTGTGTCTGTGTGTTTGGGTATGTCTGTGAGTGTCTTCAGTGGCTAGAAAAGAGAACCAGATTTCTTGGAGCTGGAGTCATAGGTAGGTGGTTATGAGCTGCCTGATGTGGACACTGGGAACTGAGCTCCAAACCTTTGCAAGAGCTGCAAGTGTCTTAACTGCTGATCCATTTTTCCAGCCCTGATCTTTTTGTTAAAAATATGTTGTTCTACTTCAATGGTTTCTATCAAGTGATTACCTTGTCCTTCAGAGAATGTTTTGCAATACCTGGAAACATTTTTGGTTGCTACAAACTGAGTAAAAGCCAAATTTGCTGCTAAGAGAATATGCATCCTTTCCCCCACAACAGAAGTATTTGGCTTGATTGTGTTGAGTTATTCCTTTCTAGTAGTATATGGGGCAATATTTCATTAATAGCATATGTAATATTTACTTTTTTCATTCCCCTTTATTGGTAGACATTGTTCCAATTCTCTTCTTCAATGGATAGTGCTACAGTGACTGTCCTCATCAGTGTCTCTGTGTATGTGTGTGCATACGCAAGAATTTCTGGTAACTACACTCCACCACCTAAATATATTTCCAATTAATGTTCCAGAGTGGCTCGACCTGTTGGCTTATTCAAAACTTCTCGGGATTCCATTTCTATGCACCTTGCCAGTACTTGGTATTATTTAAATCTAAATTCGGGGATGTTGCTGGAGAGATGGTCCAGCAGCTATGTGTGTTTCCTGCTCTTCCAGAGTACACAAATTCAGTTTCTTAACATCATCTCACAGTCACCTGCAACTCCTATTCCAGGATGCTCTCTTCTGACCTTTGAAGGTACTGCTTAGAAATGCGTATACTCATACAGACACATAAATAAAAGTTAAATACATCTTTTAAAATCATTAGCAGTTTAAAAAGTTTACAGTATCTCATTTAAAATCCATTTTACATGTTTTGCTTATTAGTGAGGACACACCAAAAATTATCCTCAACCAGTTACAACCTACAAAAAACAAGCAGAACTACATTTCCTTAGTCTTTACCTCCATAAAGTGGAAATATATATACGTACATATATTTGGCAAACATGCCCACTTCATTTTGGTCATATTTGTATCTTTGTTACTTATTATGTAGAGCCACAGAAATTGAAAGACTTCACTTGACAGTTTCTTGCCAGTAGAGGGCAGAATTGTTTTGCAGTTCTCAGCCAGTGCTTGCTTGGTTGCTCTCTCTCTCTTTCTTTGTCTATTTATTATTTTTAGGCTTCTTATTATCCCAAGAATTATGGAAACAACTAGAGACACTGTAATCTACTTCTCGAGATCCCAAGAAAGCTGCTCCCCTTAAGGCACAATATGTAATCTTGCCCCAAGCCTCAATAGTGCCTCTGGCAGAAACCATGGTGTAGTCCTGGAGAGATAGAAATGATAATTTCAAAAAAGGTGATAAACTTGAGTATAATTAAACTCTTATTACTTTATGAGATCACTCTATTTCTGGTGATTGGCTTGAAGGTAGATGGTCTGGTCTTGGCGTTTTGCTTACTTCTCATAAGGCAAGCATTCTCAGCCCTCTGGTGAAGCTGCAGGGGCAGCCTCTGGGGACTTGGAACATAGTGGGTGTCTTTCTGAGAGCTCTGGTGAAGTTGAGGCTAGTGAACCTTGAACCCAAGGTCCTGGTAACAGAAGCCATGTCTGGGTCTGAGAGAGGTCCTTGCTTTCTGACAAAGTGCCACTCTAAGTCCCTCTGCCCACCTTGGCTTGTGTCCAGGTGCCTGAGCAGGTGCCTATGCAGTTGCCCCTCTAGGAAGGAAGTGGGTGGGTTGGGAGCTCCTGAGAGGGTTGTCTCCCTCCCCACATCTGAGGACTTTGCCAGTGAAGCACACAGGATGGGAGGGACTGATGACTGGGCACCAGCAGAGCACGAAGGAGGCCAGGGAACCTCTGCCTTCCTGACTGGCCAGGGTCGGTGACCACAGACACGATGAAATAAGGGGCTGCTATTGATTATCAGTAATTCTCAGTAATTCTCATAAGGGGCTGCTATTGATTATCAGTAATTCTTCCTATTGCTTCCACTTTTTAATACAGTTCTTCATGTTGTGGTGACCCCCAACAATAAAATTATTTTGTTGCTACTTCATAAGTGTAATTTTGCTACTGTTATAAATCATAATGTAAATTATCTGATATACAGGGTATCTGATATGCAACCCCTGTGAAAGGGCCATTCAACCTCCCAAAAGGTGGTGAAGCACAGGTTGAGAACCACTGGCTTAGATGATAAAGGGTACAGGAAACCCTGTACTGTTAGGACCTGCATGGGCCATACCTGAGCTAGCTGATTCTAGGCCACAGTTCTCGGGATGGCAAGGGGCCCACTTCAAACCTCTGCCTTTAGTCCCCAACCTCCAAATTAGTGCCTGCTGGCAAAAGACCATCTTGGGGTATAGAAGTTGCAGCTGGAACTGATGTTGCAAGGAAGACACAGGAAGCTTCGCCCCTGTGCTTTCCATTGCTGTTCCTAGACACTTAGCTCTGGGCCAGGGCCTTCTGCTTTTGTATGTGACACTGTAAGGAAGAAAAGAGAAAACTTCCTACCAGTAGCTGCCAACAGAAGGACCTCTAGTTTTCAACATTATAAGCTTGAATGTTCTTTAAGGAAAAGCAAGAGTCTGGTCTGTTCTGAGAAGGTGGTTGATGTGTATTCCATTCTTGTGGGATGGATGCTCATGACACACGTTCATTGTTTTTCAATTTTCTTTTTTAGGAACTGGTTATCAGCATTCAGGATTTATATTTTTAGCACCAGCCTTATTGGTTTTATGTGGCCCCTCCTATAATTTTCAGCTTACCACCCCTATGAAGATTTTTTAATTAATTTGTTAATTCACTTTATATCCCAATTTTTGCCCCTTCCATCCTCTCCTCCTGGTCCCATCCTACCACCCTCTTTCCTCTATCCTCTCTCTCTTACCCCATGCTATGGTGGGTTGGTTGTGGGGTGGGAGGGGCTACCCTTTTCTGACAATTTTTTTTTATTTTTTTGAACACTAATGTCATTTCTCTTTTCGTTTTTATTGGTAACCAATATGAGAGAATAGAGTGTGTCACATTTCCAATTTGTAGGTGAAAAGCATGTGCCTTAAGACATAAGGATCAAGAGTTGCTGGTGATTGCAGCACTTATGTTTGGGGGCCTGTTCAAGGTGATATAAAAACAGCTCACTCTTCTTGTGAACTTTACCCTCTGAAGCACATTGGGAAGGCACTGCTAGATGATCTCAATGCTGGTGTAAGGAGAGACAAGTTGAAATGGAACAACCATTGAATGAAGAGTAGATAATAGCTTTTGCTGAGGGGTGGTGATGAATGGGCAGGTCGTCTGCAAACTTACTGAGAAAGCATTGAGGCATCTGTCCTGAGACAGAAGCCATGTGCTGATGAAGCAGGACAGGGTTTCTCTGTGTAGCTCTGGCTGTCCTGTAACTTAATCTATAGACGAGTCTGGTCCCAAACTCACAAAGATCCACCTGCCTTTGCCTCCCAAATGCTTGGATTAATGGTGGGTATCATCATACCTGGCCTCTTTGGAAGTTTTATACAATGTATTTTGATTACTGTCACCACCACCACACCCCTGCTTCTCCCTCTAGCTCCTCCCCTTCTCAACTTTGTGTCCTCTTGAAAAAAAAAAAAAAGCCAAATCCAGTGTGTGTTGCTTGTATAGTCAAGGGTGTAGAGACACCCTCTGCTGTGGAAGGGCCCTAGCCTTAAAGAAAATTGACCCCCACCCCCAACTCCAGAAGCTATCAACTTGTCAATGGTTTCTCAGTTAGAGGCAGGGGTCAGTGAGCTTCTACCAGTCTGTGCTAGAAGTCTGATTGGCTCCATCTTGCGCAGTCCTGTGCAGGCAAACAAAGCTATTGTGAATTCATGAGTACAGTAGTCCTGTCATGTCCAGAGTATTTGTTCCAGACCTCCCTTACTTTTCACAGTCTTTCTGCTCCCTCTTCCTCCATAGTCCCTGAGCTTGGGGTGAGGATGATACAGACAGATGTCCCCTTTGTGGCTAAGCATTCCATTGACATTTATTCTCTGTACTTTGATTGATAGGGAGTTTCTGAATTAACAGCCATCCATTGCACATAGAAACTTCTCCGGTGAAGTCTGAGAGCTGCATTAACCTATGGGCATAGGGCTACAAATTTAGAGAGCAGTTGGGAATGTGTCCTTTTAGCAAAATTATATAAGTAGCTTCACAGGCTTCCTGGGGCTTGTGAACTCCCCTGCTATGAGTTCTTGGCCAGATTTGCAGTTCTAGGTATGTGTTTCCTTCGGTGAAGCAGATCTTAAATCCATTGAGAAAGTGAATTTTTATCTTCTTCTTTTTTTCCTCCAAGGTATGATTTCTCTGTGTAGCCCTGGCTCTCCTGGAACTCTCTTTGTAGACCACACTGGCCTCAAATTCAAAGATCTACCTGCCTCCACCTCCTGAGTACTGAGATTAAGGGCATTAAGACATTCTTTCCAATGGTAGAAATGACACATATCTAAGATGTAATCACATCAGAGTGAATAGTTTCATGCCATTTGTGATGATATTTTTATAATGCATTTCCCCTATCTCTGCAGACTTTCCCATGTTCTGCTTTGCAACGTAACCCAGAGGGTATCATTCTGGTTTGTGGTCACAGATCCTTCCAAAAATCACACTCTTCCTGCAGCTGAAGTACAGTCAGCCATAAGGTAATCATCCCATATATGCTGTATACTGATCCATCTATCAACTTACTGATGAAATCAACTGTTTTCACAGATACTGAAGAGATCTCACTCTATTCCACACATGACGCATTGATTAAAGTGTCAAGTATTCTATTCAGTTCATTTTCATCAGAGATTAGTGTAGATCACTAATTTTCATCTGGTAGCAATTTGCCTTCAAGCAAACAAATGGTTGGCAATGATTGAACACATTTTTGTTGTTGTTGTTGTCACAACTGGAAGAGAAGGAGGTACCACCCATACTTACCAGGCAGAAGCTAGAACTGTTACTATCCACTCTGCTATGCACAGGACAAAAATCATCCCTCAAAAATTATTTGACCCCAAATGTCAGTTGTGCACCCTTGTGTGTGTATATATATATTTGGGTTTTTAGAGGCTGGCCTCGAACTCACAGAGATCCACCTGCCTCTGCCTGCCAAGTACTGGGATTAAAGGCATGCACCTCCATTGCCCGAAAAGCCAAACCCAAATATGTTGCTATCATATCTACACTGATTTAAAAATGAAATTAAACATTATTAACATATGTTAATTGTACAAAGTAATGGGTTTCACTGGACATATTTATACATGCACATGACATACTTGATCATATTTACTTCTTATAATTTTCTTGCCAACTTTTAGATCTGTACTAGAGTAGTCACATGTATGGACTAAGGTGTGAAATGAACAACTAGTCCTAAGGTGTTTGTTATAGCTCTACTGTGAAGACTGAAGTAATTCGACTCAGGTCTTGGCTAGAAAATATATAGAGTGTCTGGTCCCTAGGGGGAGGATTTTGGTGGTGGAGGTGATATTATCTATACCTGACTAGAACTTCCAATCTACCTAAGAGGTGACAGAATATGTTCCCAGTGTGGATCAAGATAGTGGCAAAGGGTTAATCAGGCAGGGAGATGGAATGAGGGTAAGAAACATTTCATTTTCCGGCCAGTCAGAGCTCAGCAAAGATGCTCATTGTTTGGGGAAAAGGTTTACATTCTTATACTTAATCAAGATTAGATTGCAAGGGCCAGGGAGATGGTTTAGCACTTGCCATAAAGCATGAATACCTGAATTTGGGATCCCCAAAACCAATACTGAACAATCATGGTGGTCCCTTTCAGTCATCCTAGAGCTCCTACATCTAGATCGGAGGCAGAACCTAGGGAAGCCCATGGGACAGCTGGCCTGGCATGTCTTGTGTCAAATGACAAAATGACCCTGTTTCAAAGACGATGGGAGGAGGTGGGGGCTGACTGACATCTGAGGCTGTTTTCAATGAGCTGTGTGTGCACCTGGGGCATATGCACACTCCTAAACACACACACACACACACACACACACACACACACACACACACACACA